CCTACTTTATTATTTCCTTTGAATTTATTACTGGATCCCTTACAACGAGAATCCTGCTATAACGGACATTTCGTACCGGTCCCCTCCCTCTCGTTATAACAGGATTCCACTGTAGAAGATATTAAATGAATCCAGTCAGCTGTTGATAAAGAAAGCCATATAAATAAAGTTACTATTTGCACATTGGGAGGACAACTTTCTCTTCATCTGTCTTTTGCTCTTCGAGGTGCTTCGTTGAGAGAATCTCTTCGTCGAATATTATCCAACGACATCAGTGCCCTCTTTGTAATGACGATGTCAATATGAAAATTGCCATGGAAGTCCCACAAAATCGGCACTTGTCTCCTCACTTTTTTTTAGAGGTTTATTGGGAGAAAAAACAGAAAAAAACAAAACCAAGCAACACCATGTGGACCAACAATGTAAAGTCATGGAAGGCAAGAGTCCGAAAATTAAGTAACCCATCAGGATCAATGCTGTATATTGTATATTAAAGTAAGTTCTAAATGTCTAACCTTTCACTTTGTCTTGAGCGTGATAAATGCACAGACACGAAAAAGGGACCTCCTCAAGCTCCGCTGGGCAATACAAATGTTTTGTTATCATTGCTGTAGGTTTCAAGAATACCAATGGTTGCCAGCTTAAATTTATCGTTTAATGAAAGAGCACGAATTTGAAAACAACCCTTTTTTTATTGAAAATATACATCATTTTATGAATATCAACTGCTTAAGAAGTAGAAGCTGAACTTTTTGTAGTTGCTCTCTTCTTCAGAGCTGGGGTGCCTCAACATATGATGCTCCCGGTGGTGCATCTGGAAGTGTTTATATTTATGAAATATAATAAAACATTGATAGAGGCTCTGAAGGAAAAAGTACATAGGGTGTCCCCCCCGGGGCAGTGCCACTGACTGTAGTGTCTTTAGGCCATTCCCAAAGGGGGGACATTTCTCGTTCGAGTACAGTAGAATTGCAAATGGGCTGATTCATCATGTCACGCTCATAACTGTGCCTGATCTACAACAGGGAACTGCTGCTTTTTCTTTCCTAATTTAATCTGTACTATTGTCATTTTCCTCTACTTCTTTTATATGTTTGTCACCCTCTTGTGACCCGCTATTTCCTGGGTGCCTTGATAGTCGAAGCAGACCTTGTGCTGTTGAAGCT